CTGGGCTGGGGACAAGGTGGGGATCAGGCACAGGGGGGATCCGTGGGCTGGGAGGGCTTTTCCAGCCTCAGTGATCCTCTGAAGAAGCTGAAGAGTTTGGGGTATCATAATCAAAATAGGACATGGCAACAGGAGGCTACAGGAGGTTGAGTTTTCCTCTTGGGAAAAGCCCTGTGTGAAGGGTTTGGGTTGGGAAAGAGCAGAAGGGCACAGGAAAACAGCAGGATGGGCAGGTGACCAGGAAAATGGGAGGCACCTGATCCAGCTGGATGTCCACAGCAGGACAGCTGGAGTCACTCAGCAGATGTTGTGATGTTAATTGGGCTAATTGGGCAGGACAGTGGGAGTTGTCTTGTGATGGAAATGCTCCAATTCACTCTAGTTTTAAGGGTTGGTGAGTTCCTGACTTTGTTGTGGACAAAAAATGCTGAGGCTGGCTGGAGCTGGTTTGGTTATTGCTGCAGTTGAACTGGGATGTGCTGAAATGCAGTCTGGTTTAGATTCCAGTACTATCACACCTCTGTGTGTCTGGTGGGGGGTGCAGCAACAACCCAGGGCTGCTCACCTGGCAGTGGAGGGAAGAAATAACCTGTGGAATGGAAAAAGGGGGAATTGAGAACAGATTTAAGGGGGAATGGTGGCCTGTCATGGACAGCTCTCACTGACACGCTGCTGCTGAGCCTGGAGGTGGAACAGCATGAAATGCATTGTTGTATCCACTGGGGGACCAGGAAAACTCTGTTTCTAATACATTCACAGCCCTGGCTCACATCACACCTTATTACTGCAGCCCCACCCAGGCTCTGCAGCCCTAGTGCTCCCTCTCAGTGTGTCAGGGAGTGGGGGTCTGTGTTAATTAGTCAGTGCCTCTCTGCCTCACATTTGATTAAAGCTGGTCGATAGATTGACTTTTCCACCAGCACCTCCCCTGATCGAGGGCAGCAGAGTGGTGGATGAGGCTCAGCACTCCTGGCTCCCACAGCAGTGAAGCCTCTGGTGCTGTCTCATCCCAGACACCTCCAGGAGTAGGACTGTCCCCTCCCCCTGGCCTGGCAGCTTTCTGGTTTGATACTTTTGTGAAGGGAAGAATTTGAGGCCCTTTCAGAGTTCGAAGCCAACCCCTCTCTGTGTCTGCAACTACATCCCAGCTGATCTTGCCTAGAGAGCAAAAGTCTTGTTTCCTTGAGTTCTGCAGTGGAAGTTTGTTGGGCATGCTTGGGAAGTCCACGGGTGCCGAAGCTCTTTGGCTGCACAGTGGAGTTGGTGTAACTTGAGGGCAGGGAGGGAAAATGGCCAAGTCCACCATTTCCTCAGGTTCAGCACCTGAACCCTGAGCCAGTCCTGGGAGCGGGATTTGTACCCTGGGGATCCTGGAGATCCTGCAGATCCTCACTCCCAGGGACCTGCTTTTCTCTTCAG